ACTGTGCATAAGAAGTAAAATCACAATAATGGTGATCATCAATGATGTATTTTCACCAAACTGTATATGTACTTATCAAGAAAAGAAATCATACCTCTATGCACTTCAGTTTTAGTTCAGTATTCATGAATAAATAAGGATTGCTTGTAGACTTAAAAAACAAAACAAAGAAAAGTTTCTTACCCTCGATGGTAGTTGGAATTTTGAAAGCCATTCAGGAGGAACCTGTAGGTAGATATTTGTTTTCAAAAAAATTAAACTGTCTGATAACATCCTATCAATTCACTAATTTTTTAATTTACTAGATTTAAAATTGGGTTTACTTTGTTTTATGCATGGTGCAAGTAAATACATATCCAATATATCTCAATAAAAATAAAGCAAATCTCGCCATTTTTGTCCCCGAGATTTGTCATCTTTAACTGACCAACTGGCACCTTGTGTGTTTTCCTTTAGGATATAATCGAAAGAAAGTAATCGATAATGTACTCTTCACCATCCTGCTAAGTTTAATATACAAGAACTTACTTAGACAGTGCTCAGTTCTGTCGCCTTGTCCGTAAAACAGAGATCCTTGGGCGATTCACCCTTTTCTTTCGGTGCCAATGTCGCCTCTAAATTTTCATAATCGCTGATGTTATCTGAATCATCAATCGACGTTTGAACCGTCTTAATCGAAGGACTTGATTCTGCACGCTGAAAGAGTGAGAGCCAAAAAATCAGCTTAAGTGTTATGCAAACAAAGACATAGACATAAAAATATCAGTTCATCTTTTCAAGAAAAAGATTAAGAATTGAGAGTGCTCAAATTCGTGCTCGTGCTGTGCCCCTACCCCTAGGGATTTGTACTCAATCTCTCTTTTACTCAATTTACCTCGATTGAGTGGCGATATTAAAATGTTTTATGACAGGTCAGGTAAAAGATGCGAGCTCTGTTTAATTAGCTTTCTGATTTGCATTGACTTTCTTGACTTATTTACTCCGATAGAAAATGACATAAATATAATGTAAATATTTCGATAAAATGTTTGGATGCTTCAGGAAAGAGTATATTCCGTGTCTGAGTATCACAGTCACTTGATTTGCAGTAGATAGAGGTCAAGGTTTTTGCTGAAACTTATTTCAATTCAAAGTCTTTTCTTCCGTTTATGGTACTCAACTATGATATAAAAACCTTGCTTGACAACTTTCACGAAGAAGTATCCTGCTCTGTGTGTACCACATTTGCTGAATCAAAACAGCAACCACGTTTGCACAGTTTCTGTCTCCACTGCTTGAACGGGATCTTACGAATGAGTAGCCGCCATTATGTCTTTCTTTGTCCTGAATGCCAAAGAGAAACTCGAGTTCTTAGTTGTGCAAAGCTCAAGGATCTGCCCACAAACTTTGGTATCAGCAGTTCGCTAGATGTGCTGGCCATCAAAGAATGCCAAAGAATGTTGGAGTGAAATGTGGAACTGCAACAAAAGTAGCAGACACAGTTCGTGCTGTTTTCAGTGCCGCGCGTTTTGGTGTGAAGCGTGTATCATCGCGCATAGCTTAACTCAAAGCGCATAAGGAGCAAGACATGGAGGACTTGTTAGAGCAGCCTGTATTTTGCCGACAGAAGCATCACGAAAAGGAAAAACTTGAGTTCTTTTGCCAGAACTGTGTTGTTGCCATTTGTGTTTCTTATGTTGCAACCATCCACGATGGTCACGCTAAGATACTTCTAGAAGAAGCGGCATGTTAACGCAAATTACAAGTCAAGTCTTTGATTGATTCTCAAAAGGAAAAAAACTGAGTAAAAGAATACCGAAGGAAAGGGTTACTATTTTGAAGCGCGAGCTGAAACATCCAAAAGTTTGCATGATCGCAACTTTTTAATTAACTTGATGATTTTTTCAGCCGTTCACTGTGTACAATGCGACGAATTTCTCCTTGTGTCAGACTGTGATAACACTGTATCAAGTGTTTGAGAGGAAAGGTGATCTTTTTTACAAATTTGAAGAAAAGGGGAAGAGAGACAGGTAGTTTAACTTTCCTCGCCTTTTCTGATTTAACAAAGCGGGACATCCAATGGTCTGGTAAGTCAAGTATTTGAAATGAGTGATAGGTTTGTTACAAAAAGGGAGTGAGTTCAACGAGCCAACATTTACAGCACAGCTGTGACTGATTAGTTTTACCATCGTATTCCGATATTTGAGCTTGAGTAAAGTTGGCTGAAAATATATCTGCAGTTACCTTCAGACTCTAAAGCAATTCTAAGAAGGTAGGTTTTTTTCCTGAGCTTCCTATTATTATGATCCCTCCTCGGTTCCCCCTGAGTCCTGTCGAGTATGAGAAGGTGGATGAAACGCGATCTTTTCTTAAACTTTCGCCGCTGCTAAACAAAAATCTTATCAGTAGCTAAGTAACAAATTTTATTTCCTGTCCGTTGAATTCTCAATCAGTGCTTTACTTATCTTTACCGATTTACTTATCTTTGCTGATGTTTCCCGAGAGTTCGTCTTGGGAAACACTCGAGGGAAAACAAAACTACCTGTTTCCCTCGGGACCATACATTAAGTGTGTATTATATTTACCTTTAGCAATTTCTGAATTTTTACCTGCTGACTACAAGTAGTGGTATTGTTGGTAGAAATGCATCCTTGAATCGCTGTGTTTTGCAGAGACACTGGTGGAGTCTAGAAATAATCTCGATATCGCTTTTAATATTCGAAACAATACGAAGTCACTGATTTTTAAAGGCAATAAACATTGTTATGTGATGGGAGACTTTAGCCTAGACCTTCTCCAATACAATCATCACGTTCCAACACAGGAATTTATTGACAGCTTATTTTCACACGCCCTTCTTCCTCTCATCTCCAATCCAACACGCCTCACCTCATACTCTGCGACGCTACTCGAAAACATATTCACCAACAACCTTTCCCATAGCGTTTTTAGTGGCACTATTCTAAATGATTTATCTGACCACCTACCCGTTTTTGCATATTTTGACGACGCAACTCTAACGCGCGGCACAGAAAGAAAAATTGTGACGCGCACATTCAATGACGATAATTTGCATAAATTCAACCTTTCAAACGCAAAACTGTGGTCTTCATTTTGCAACATGGAAGATCCCAATGAAGCCTATAATGATTTTATTGAAGAATACTTCAGAATCTATAACACCTGTTCCCCTTTAAAGGTTCTCAAAGGTAAACGGGTAAACAAGTTCTTTTCTCCATGGCTTAGCCCTGGACTTCTGAAATCCGTTAACAAGAAGAACAGACTCTACAAAAAGCTCGACACATCACCTTCCACATCTTCTGAGACGAAGTATAAAGCCTACAAAAACACTCACCCATCTTATTCGCATTGTCAAACGGAAATACTACGATTCCAAATTTGAGAATGCCAGAAATAACCTCAAAACAAATTGGAAATTGTTAAATGAGGTTATTAACAAGCGTAAAAGTAAGTCATCTCCTCCCACATCATTCAAATCTGAAGGCAGAACATTTACGGATCCAATGAAGATCGCTGGTCCCAACCTAGCTAAATCTATACCCATTGGGAATCCTTCTTTTCGTTCTTATCTTAGTGATAATAAGTATCCCTCCATTAACTTAAAGTCCACCACAACTAGTGAACTGGAAAGCATTTGTTGAACTGGAAAGCATGTTCGCTTCAAAGAAGGCTCCTGGCTATGACAAACCCAAATTGCTTAGAATCCGTACTTAATGATAAACTCCAAAATATTGATGTTTGGCTAAAATGCAATAATCTCTCAGTTAATGTAAAGAAAACTAACTACGTAATTTTTAAACCCAGACAGAAGAAATTTAACTCCAGCATTTCTCTCTCCTTTGGAGGTAAACCCCTACAACAATCTAATATAACTAAATTCCTTGGGGTCTATACTGATGATCATCTCACTTGGAAACACCATATCAGCTATGTATGTAAACAAATCGCTAAATCAATGGGTATTATATTTAGGTCTCGCTTTTTCCTATCCTCTACAACCAAGTTCACTTTGTACTACACTTTAATTTATCCTTAAATCGTCTATTGTAACTGCGCCTGGTCGTCCACATGCGTATCTAACTTAAATAGAATTTATTAGAAAAAGCGAGCTGTGCGGGCTACACCAACTGAGACTATCGAGCCTATTCCGCTCCTTTATTCTTCAGACTAGGAAGTTTAGATATTTTCCAAGTCAATTCGTTTGAAATAGCCAAATTCATGTTTTATTATATAAAAAAAACTTGTTGCCTCCATTATTTCTCAATCTTTTTGTAACCAATAGCCGAATTCACAACTATGGCCAGAACAGCCAGTAATTATCGAACGCATTTGTGCCGTACAAATCTCAAGCAATTTAAAATTCTCTACCAAGGTCCTAAAATTTGGAACTCTCTTCCTGTTTCAGTCACTCGTTCGTCACACCTTCTTAGTTTTAAGACGAAAATGCATGAGTTTTTACCTAAATAATCACTAAATTGGCACAGCCGTACATTCGCAGCACTTTTTCTTTACTTTATTTATTAATGTAAGTGAGGTGGCTCTCCCATAAGCCCGGTGGCTTCCTGGGTCTCCTCGCCTTCTAGCTATAACCGCTGTAAATAAATTTTTTGTATTGTGTAAATAAGGCAAATAAAAGATGATGGTGATGAAGTTTGCTTTGCTAAGACTCATCCATTTTAAAACAGTTCAGTTATCAGTTAATTGCGCCAATCATATTCCCCTCAAGCATCGCTTTTTTCAATAACAATGACTGTGTTATGAAAACAGTTGCAAAAACGCCGTTTTTATGCAATATAGCGTTTTAAGCGAGTTAAAATCAGTCGAGTAAACTGACGAATGTTTCGGGAAAAAATTCGTTTTCTCATGCGGGCGCACCATGTTTTCTTGGGTCATACTTGGCATATAAATTTCTTCCCGGTTCCCTAAAAATCGCCTGCATCACGGCAACAAATCATTCAATCAATCAATCAATCAATCAATAAACTTTATTTTCCCTCGAATTTACAGTGTAGCACTCGGGTGCTAATATCTTCGAGCAAACTACATTAATAAATAGTTATAATAAAAAGATTAATTCTATAACAAATAGGATAACTAACTACCTAAGGATAACTAACTACCTAAAATTGCCAGTGACGTTATGACCTCGTTTTATTCTATTAAATCTATAGCGTGTAAGCAAAGCAATTCTACTCGTCCATGCAGAGCTGAGTCCAACATAATGAAATGGAAATTCTAAGAAAATTAAATCAACGGAAAAAGACGAATGAATTTAACGCTTCTGCCTATTTAAAATAACATACTTCAAATCGGAGAACGATATCAAAGGACGAGGATCATAAATTTTTTCAAATCCTAACAATAAACTTTAATTTCGACAAAAGATGCATCAGAACTGCTATAAAAAAGAAAAGGAAAATGTATTTTCTATCCTAGTGAAGCGCCATTATTCAGTAGCTTATTGCAGCTTTCCGCTCATTTATGGAAAATAAGTTGTTACCACATTGGATAGGGTTTAAAAGCGAGTTTTGGTCGGGCGAGTGTCTCGGGATCGCACTTCTATTCACCCGCGGGTGCACCGTACTTTCTTGGGTCAGACTTGGCGTATATTTTTCCTCCAGGTTCCCGCCTAGAAATCGCCTGCACCACAGCAAAAAGATTACTGCCAGTGACGTTGTGACCTAGTTGTGTTAAGCCTTCTATTACGTCCTCGTCAATGGGCTTATCGTCTTCATAATATACTCTCTGATCAGGCACCAGATGTGAGTGCAGTCGAGGTTCGTCCACCGCCTTGGACAAGTCATCTCCAAACCAGAGTTTGTTCATTAAGACCTGCAGATGCAAAAGTATATATTGCATTAGTACTATATGTGCACAGTAGTAGCAAAGAAGAGCCGGTTAAAATTCGCTGTGGGGAGGGGATTACTAACTTAACGCTCTGATCCGCGCCGATAGGTTTTCAAAAGAAGCTGAGTTCGTCTCTGCGTAGACCAATAAAAATAAAATATTTTCGTTTTACATTTTCGCGTTACTTTCAGCTCGTCACATCAAAAACGCACCGAAAATCAGGCGAAAAAAATCTGAATCACTGAGGTTTCGGAGGATACATTGATTCACTAATAATTGATCCGTTTCTCCCTCAGGTCATCTCTAACAAAACGTTGGGATTTCTTGGTATAATTATAGTTTATGACTGTTACACTGATGATCTCTCTATTTTTCATACAACCGCGCGACGGTATTACTGCGGACACATTTGTACCTGCAGTGTTGACTTTCGACAGATGTTAATGAACAGCGCAGCAAATGGTCAAAATAGTGAGTACTTAGTTATGAAAATTTCGTTACGCGTTCAGTTTGTCTTTTCATTAGTCTATTATAGACATAACTGCTACAAGTGTCTTTAAACGCTTCAGTTTTGCTAAATTCAAAGTAAGATGCTATTTGTACTTGATTGCACTCGCTTCGTCTGTGCCAGATCTGTCAGTTTAACGACAAACTCTTCCAAATTTTGGTTTGTCATGTAAGCATTCAGCTCGCCTAGTTGTATTATTCGAAGCGTAAAGTCTGTAAACCATGTGTTCGAATATATAAGAGAGACAAAACTCGTTTAAACTGTTTCATTGCAGGGTAACGTCAAAACAACATCGGTGTGTTCATTTAATTAGTTTTTGTCTGAATTGTCCTAATGAAAACATGTTTATCAAATCATCAGCTCGCTTGTGCGTGCGATGTCTTAAGTAAATGCACCGTTAGAATTGAGCGGAGCGGTTCTGCAAATTTAAGTAATTATCAATTGAGTACATGGTGATGTAATGTTAAAAAGTCTGGAAACGATCCTCCTATTCCTTTTGAACAAAGCACTGACATTTTCCGTTAGGATCTTGTCACAACTATATGCAAGTTTACTCTCGCCCAGAAATAAACAACATTCTTAGCGAGATTGCGTGAAATGGTATCCGTGGGCATTCGTAACTGGAAATGTCAGGCAATTTTTACCCGTGAGTACATTTTTTCACCAAATAGGTGCCTTCATCGTTTCCATTAACTCACAAGTTTACCCTCAGTTTTAAATTTATTGTTCAGATGTGAGCATTTGTTAGATTATAATGTCAAGGTACCTGACAAAAGTACATGTATACTTTTAATGACGAAGTGCTCTGTATCTTTTACGTTCGATACTAGGGGAAGGTATGTTTTTTGTTGGGGGGTGGGGGGGTGGGTCGGGGTATTTTAGAAATTTTTTGCCAAAAAAGTCGAGGCCCTCCCACTTCCCTGAGTGGATTAATGCATGACCCTTTAAAAATACCTACACAAAAACATCTGACCCTCCCCCCACCTCTTCCAAGACAAAAATAACCGAAGGTGAAAATAACTAACTGGAAGTGTTACTCACAAAACTGCGTCTGCATGGACTTTCTGAAGAGAAAGTTGAGTCTCTTTCAACGTCAGAGCTAGACGCGCACAGCAGTAAAGTCACGGAAAAAATGCGTGGGCTGTTGCTTAGGAGGTGTGTCTTCGAATTGACGACTCCCCAGCGCCACGGGGGTATATTTCAGCATTTTTGGGCGACCGACCATAAAATCAATTTTTCTACAAATGTGAGTACTTGAAAGAGTATCTTGGAGTCACCAACAATCAAAAGAGTTCTGTTCCGGGGCATGGGTATTTTTCCAAGCTAGAACAATTTGGGAGCCTCCATTGTGAGAAAGGAGAGCTTTATATGGAGTATAGGCGAATGTCATGTCAAGAGCGAAATAGCCAACTATGTAAATTTTGCGAGAAGGATGAGACTACCAGCGCTCTACTTCCAACTCGGCGACCATATCCCGACTGTGGCAAGCTACCAAACTTCCATCATCTCTCTTGGAGTGCAACCCCCACCAATGGCCGTGAGCTGGACGTTTTCCAGCCTCGAGCTCAGATTAAGCGATTGTTTGAGGAAAGTGAACTAGTCAGTTGGGAAAGTGAGGCTATTAGAAAGTTTTCAGATAAATACATTGTCCCCGAAAAGCTTGTGGCAGAGTATGTTGAGCACCTTGCCCAGATAAAAATGCGCAAGGAGAAGAAAAAAGGGGAGACTGAAAGGGAGCGAATGGAACGGCTGAACCGGGAGCACAATGACATTGACTGGGTTGGATTCTACAACTCCGATAAGCTGTCGTCCTTGAGGGTGGACGAGTTATCCTTGTACTTTTCCCATCACAAGATCACCTTCAAAGGGACGAAAGCTGAAAAGGTCGCAATGATCAAAGCGCACATTGGCAGCTTGCTGAACGATTCAATGGAGTGTTAACAACCTCGGCAGCCCCTGCCAAGAAATATGTAGCAACAAGCGACCTCACCATTTTCCGAGGTTGAAACTGACTCGCAAAGTGATGTAGTAGATCGAGGTGTCGGTTCAAACCCGAGTAGCTTAAGTGACGAATCGTCACCGGAGACTGATTTTATACCAAAACCCCGTGCGGAAACATTACCGCGTCAAAATATGGACGAAAGCGGGCACGGGTCGAGAGAGACGATTATGTTAATTGGGAGAAGATAGTTTTTTTGATATAAAATTTCGACACCTGTAAACAATTTAGATTTATCTTGACTGGTAGCTTTGCTTGTATATACAAGTTTTAGGTTTCTACACACTTTGCGTGTTTGTTAACAAAAAGGAGTCAACTGAGCGACATGGAGTCATTTTTTCCTCGCCAAAATTCCCTTAACGAAATTATTTGTGATTTTAATTCCAGTAGTATTTGTAATTCCGTTGCATTGTACATTGATTCGAAAATCATCCAAGGTTCGAGATTTATTAAAGGAAACAGGAGGAAATGCTACTTGGAGAAGTAAGTGGCGGTGGTAAGAGCGGGACTACGTTCAGTTGAAGTAAAATATTCATCGGGTGAAGAGATACAGTTCATGAATAAATCCATATATGCATCGTTTACGTGTGACAGGAACCCGTCAACGTCTATTATTATGCATATACAGACATAAACCGATTTACTGTTCCAGGCCGCCTCCATTTCTTTGGCTGGGAAATCCACATCAATAGAGCAACTTTACCACTGGATTTCCCGGTTCATAATAAAGATATGTAGGGTGCTTGTCCATTTGTTTCTCTGCTATCTTGATCTCTTCTCACTGTGGATAAATTTGGACGGAGTACCTATACTAATTAAATCCTAAGATTCAAGTAACGTAGAAAAAAAAGGATTGGACGTACCAGTGACACAGCTGTGGTTATCCTTTTCCCACCGGAGGCACCGATAACAAACTGAACTTTTCCGTCGTTATCGGTCAAAATGGTGGGACACATGGAAGAGAACGGTCGCTTACCAGGCTCAGGAAAATTGAATGGTGAAGGAGAAATATCACCCACTACGTCGTGACCAGGAATATCAAAATCTGCCATCTCATTGTTGTAAATGATGCCTGTTTCAGTGGATCGATATTTAGCGCCAAACCTGTTGGAAAAACAAAACAAAGGAACTTCATTACAGTTAGAGAAGCACAGGAAAATGAAGTGAAAATTTTACTAAACCGCTTTTGTAAGTCTGAAGATCTCGCTGATAAAAAAATGTATATCTTTTCAGACATTTTGGTGTATGTTATCAATAAGTGTTTTTACAAGTTGAGAGGTATTTTGTCGAGCCCACTAAGCAAGCAAAAATAAAAACGAGTTTTTTTACGGTACAAAGTAACCAGCTGTCCAAATATCGGTGATATTTGTACTCGATTCGCACGTTATTTGCACACTACTTGATGCAGTTGAATAATGAATTCAGGTAACTAACTGGGAAATGGGTTTCTGAAGTTATCCTCGCGTGAACGACGTCATCTTTCGAGCTGAGCCATGACATGATTTTTAGAGAGCTCTAAATAAGGGAACGATGACGAATACGAGAACGCGTTTTGACCGTGCGAGAACTGGTACTAGTGTCTCGTTCTCGTAATCGTGCTGGCGGAAATTGCAATTTGGATTGTAGACAAGGTGACGATTCCGAATACGAATGTTTTTGCTATGTTAAGCAAAAAAGTTATCCAAGGAGCACACGTTTACCTTCTTGGAGATGAAGAGATGACGAGGGAGAATTGTTGGTTGTTTCTGAAATCGTTACAAAGAGGAGAAAGCATCCGCACAAGCAGTGAGGAAGGATTGCGGATATTTTTGACATCATTTTTTTTGAAGAATTTCAAGTAAAGTTCGGGTTTGGCATCACAGAACTACCCCTCTTTCCTTGAGCATTCAAAATTTGGTTTTGTTTCTCAAGAGCTACCATGCAAGTTGTCATCGTCTTATAACAACTGCAGCAGGCTCTTCTTAATTTTCCTTACCTCTATGCTTTGGTAACGAAAACCTCAAACGTCAAAGTTTTAGTGTGTCGAAAGCGATAATCATATTCCATCTATTTTCTTAATCTATGGGTGCTGCTGTGGTTCTTGCCGTCGAAGCAGGAACTATGAGAAGCTACCCGTCCCGGGCCCTCAATTATGGTGAACTCAAGGTCCATTGGTGCCGTCCACAACTCCAACTGAACTTGTCAGGACAACTAACCTCATATTAATAGTGGATGTTACAGAAACTGCGTCTCCATATTGGTCCAGTACAGCCACGTGTGTCGTACCGTAATCAGCGTTCGAAAAGGAATCCGCGTAATAAGATACATCCGTGTAAGTCTTGTTATCCCATATTTTTTGACGAAGGGTATCACCAAGTTCTGGCTCTAACATGTCTTTTGCTGTCTTTGAAGATAAAAGTAAAACTGCAACGTATTACCTGATCCCATACTGTTCTCTACACAATTCCTAAAGTGCGGAGAATTTGTTTAAGAATAAAAATCTTCTTTAGTTGGTGCTCATTTCCTTTATTCTCGTTACATTAATGTTTGATTCAAGGGTCAATCTTAGAGGTCAAACGGTTAAATGCAGTTTTTGATGTAAGGTCAATGTTCCGTTTAGTGTAATTCCAGTTCAAGAGTGGTTCGAAAATCACATCGAAAAAACTTGCGCTTGCTAATGATATGCAAAATAGAATCAAGAAGAAGACTCCTAGTGAATCGAAATTTAGGGGGATCACTGAGGGGAATCACATGGTTTTCAGCCTTTTCATGGGGGGCGGAGGGGAGGAATTATTTTGACTGCCAATTAACTGCAATAAGGGGGGATCAGAAGAATGTTATAGTGCATTATGGGGGATCAGGTGAATTTTGTCGGCACATAACCAAAATCCTACTACTTTCCTAGGCGAGGAAGGGAACTAGAATGAAAGTAGCTTTGCTTCGGTTGTCCAAAGGGCATGTTTGTTCTTCAGCACTGTGTTTTTGTACCATTATATCAGTAACTGTAAAAGGCTTGTTACTGATGAACATTTTGGTTAAAGTTTGACAAGCGTTAACCAAACAACCAGTTAGGCAAAAAATTAATGAGAATGTCAATTTTGTAACACCTGTAACATTTCACCTACCTTTACTATCCTGGAGTTAAACTTGGGATCTCCAAGCTGACTGCGCCACGCATAACTGAACTTGAAGGATTCAATGATTCGATGATATGTAAGGATTTTGGAGTTCTCGTCATCGCGAGCTGATGATGTCAAGTTGTACCCTACAACGGAAACATTCCACAAAACGAGGCTGGTTTTACTAATCTTTCGGTTAAAATGTCACTTAATCTATCTTGACACTGACTAACCCCTTAACTCCCATGAGTGACTAAGACAGAATTTCTCCTTACAATATCAAGTAGACAATTAAGTGATGAGAATAGAGAAAAATATTAATTAGTGATTGTCAGTTGATCCAATACCAAATTCTCCAAACTAACATAACAAGAACCATATGGCGGGCAGTAAGGAGAATTACTATTGAGATCTTGGGCATTAAAGGGTTAAAACAAGTTTTTGTAAGATGTTGGGTCGACCAAAACAGCTTTCTAATGTACATGTATTTATTTTATTCTTATTCAGCTCCAGTAAAGCTAAGGTCGCACTAGCTTGTTTCTGACAGCCTTTGGACACTTGCCGGGTGATGGCGTGTTTTCAATTCATTCGAAAGGCAATAAATATGATCAGTAATTTGAAGATTGCATAAAGTACTTAGCAGAGGAAATTTCCATATGTTCGCGGCGAGTCTTCTTTCTAAGAAAGTTAAAAAGTCTTTTTGTTAACAACTCCTACCTCTTAAAATGTTTAAGATCAGTGCCAGCACAGCGCCACTTGTGGGTGGTGGGGTCAGGTACATTGTCATGTTCTGGATGTTACTCCGGTATGGCACTCTTATAATCGACTTATAAAGTCTTAAATCTCTGGCAGTCACGATCCCATTGACTTTCCTAATGTCACGCAATATGTCATTAGCGAGCGCTCCACTGTAAAATGAGTCAGGATCGTCACGCACTCTTTCTAGAGTCCTTGCGTACTCCACGTTCTCAATAACATCTCCTTTTTTAACCAGCTTATTGTCTTTAAGGAGCAGCTCACTGAAATATTAAAAGTGGAAGAAGTGAAGATGTTGTTAGTATTGTTATGGCCGTTGGAGTAAAAAAAAACAGTTACCCTCGAGAAATGAAACGCCAATCGTTTAAATCCTTACTCTGATTTTTAATTGGTAACCGATTTTTCTATACTCCCCCTTTATACTCTGTTTGGGACGGCTGATCCCCCTCACCCTGAAAACCATATGATCCCCTAAAAATCCTCCCACCCTTCCCCTCCACAGGCGATAATTAGACTGATTCCTTAGATAGTTCTCTTTGTGCGCATGATCGTGGCAATTCCACAACCAGTTCACTTGTTATCCGTAATCAGTGCTGCTTTTACAGCGATAGAGCGCGTGATTTACAAAAGAGATTGGTAACGAATTACTCTCACCTTAGTCCTGGGTCTTTTCTAATATCTTCTTCGATATCTGTTTTGTTACTTGAATATCCTTTCCCCACCCCTCCCCTCTTCGGGCGATAAGTAATGACACCTGTAAGCGCGGTTGCAATGCGCCTAACAGGTTTTTTTGTTATCTGAATATAAAAATATAAACGATCGAGCGTGTGATTTACATTGGAGTCAAGTCTTGAATTAGTCTCACCTCAATCCCGGGTCGTTTTCAATATCATCTTTGATTCCTTTTGTCGTTTTCAGTGCATCTTCCACAGCTTGAGTTACTTCAAATCCATATATGGCCAAATCAATGGCGGGTTGAACCAGGTGTTCCCATGGTAACCGACCATGTCGTTTCCAAGCCTCGTACATACCGCGAACCTCACCGGGAACAGCGATGGACAGACCACCTTAAATGATATCAAGTAACGAAAATTTGATTTTGTGTGATCAGTGAACTGTAAAGATATCAATAGTAATTTTTATCGGTGGATTGGATATTAAAACATGTAAACCGATATATCAGCACTGATTAAAATTACGTTGATGAGTTTAGTAAAATCAAGTGAGCAATCAACACAATCTTGATTCTAGAAAAGCGCCACAGTCAACTGAAAGAATTGACTGACCTGTCTTGGATTTTTTTTGGTTGCCCTTAAACATGTCCTTGTAGGCTGTGGCTGGGGCAGTTTCTCTGAAGTCGTAGACAATGGCGTTCTTCGATGCTTGGTAGTACACCAACATCACTCCCCCACCTCCTATCCCTGATGAGTGCATGCTGACCACACCCAGACAGAACATGGCGGCGATGGCAGCATCCACTGCTGAACCGTTAGCTTTTAGGGTGTCGGTTCCGATTTTAGAGCACAGCGGTGTATCCGTGGCAACTGCATATTTATCATAGGTTCCCACAGATTGGTCTGTTAAATAACGAGCAAGGAGACTGCTAACCGCCGTCAAAAGTGAAGTCACGCCCATAGCCACAACTATTATGATCTTCCTAAAAAGAGAAGGTTTGGATCAAAGTATTGGCTTGAGTTTAGGTCGTCTAAAAAGTAAATGTTGGTGTTTCCCTAAGAAAAAGGAGGAGTTGGAAGGAAATAAAGTAGTAGATAAAAATACGCCCTCATTAGCGTCCAGTTGTGGCGCACGAGTGGTGTTTACCACAAGTGAGACATTCGTATATAATATCCTTACATTGATAAATAAACCAACCAAGTGTTTTTTCGGTCGAAAAGAAGTCCCTTAATGAATGCATCACATTTGTGATTTTTGTCACGCAAACGGAGCGACGGTTTCCACGTGAGTTAATTTGTTTTGAAATTAGAATTTGAATATGCATATAATTTTCTTCCCTGGGTCAAGGTACGCACAAATTAATGCACATCATCGCTTGGATTTGAAAACATTTCTTAAAAAATTCGGAACTTCCCACAGTGGTATTTCCGATAAATGTTTTGGAAACAAACGTCACAATACATTTTGAAATGGTGAAGAGAGAAAATGCTACTCAGCTACATGTTAGATAAAAGATATCTTTATCAAGTGATATAAATGCAAATTTTAGTTGCTATTTAAAATAACATTCTGGTTGATTTTATTTGCGAGTTGTTAAGTTAACTTCGAATGATCTCCGCTAACAGCAGTTACAATCGAAATTAAGAAAGCGATATGATGGAACATGATAAATACGTCCCAAGGATTGAAGTTTTCTGGGAAAACCACGTGGTATCACGCGATGTAGCAGAATACCGATCGAGTTGGAAAACTTATTGGACTACTCATGTAGCAAATACTTAAATTTCGTGACACATTCAGGTTGTAGAATATTGCATTTATCTTTCGTGGTGTTCCGTGTCATCACAGGCTGCATATTTGAAGTAAATAGATTTGAACATTTCGCAGATTGTGAATCAATTGCACGGTCATGCTTTTCAGAAGTTTCCAAACTTGAGTCTTCTCTGTAAGTTCTTTACAATAGAAACTGCACGTTGAACATTGCTATACAGAATAATGAGATAAACTTTATACTTACCGTCTGTCGCTCATCGTAGCTTCCATTTTGCAACGAAAACCGCGCGTCTTAGGCGTTGCAAGTAAGTATAAAACTCGTGCTCGATTCTTACGGATATCCCTGAAACTCTAACCATACAAGCCCGTGCCCCTACCCCTAGGGATATGTACTCAATCTCTGTTGTTCTCAATTGACCTCGATTTAGTGGCGATATTAAAATGTTTTACAACAGGTCAGGTAAAAGATGCGAGCTCTGTTTAATTTGCCTGACTTGCATTGACTTTCTTGACTTATTTACTCCGACAGAAAATGAAATTAAAGATTTCGATAAAATGTTTGGATTCTTCAGGGAGAGTGTATATTCCGTGTTTGAGTTTCACAGTCACTTGATTAACAGTACACAGAGGTCAAGGTTTTTGCTGAGTCTTATTTGAACTCAAGGTCTTTTCCTCCGTTTATGGTACTCGAGTATGATATGAAAACCTTGCTTAACAACCTTCACGATGAAGTATCCTGTTCTATGTGTATGACTACATTTGCTGAACCAAACTTGCAGAACTGCTATGTTTGCACAGCTTCTGTCTCCACTGCTTGAACGGGATCTTACGAACGAGTAGCCACCATGATGTATTTCTTTGTCCTGAATGCCAAGGAGAAGTTCGAGGTCGTAGTTGTACAAACCTCAAGGATCTGCTCACAAACTTTGGCATCAGCGGTTTACTAGATGTGCTGGCCATCAAAGAATTTCACACTGCTGGAAGGAAATGTGGAACCTAGTGCGACAAAAGTAGCAGACACAGTTCGTGCTGCATTTTCAGTGCATTTTCAACCACCCATGACGGTCACGCGAAGATACTTCTAGAAGGAGCAAGTTAACGCAAGATACAAGTCAAGTCTGTGATTGATTCGCAAAAGAAAAAAAATTGAGCGGAGGAAAACGAAAGAAAAAGTAAATATATAGAAGCGCAAGCTGCTGAAGCGAAACGAAACATCCAAAAGTTTTCTGTGGAGTTGGAAATAATGTATGCAATGTAATCGTTTTATTTCATGGATCAGCGTTTGCTTAGAGAATCTGTAACTTTAAGGGAGGTACGTCACGCCTTTTTTTTTGGGAATGGGGGGGGGGGGGGTGGGTGGGAGAGTTGTCGTTTGAAAAGTGAACTACATAAATCAAATAGTGCATGTATATCCAGAATGCTGAATAGAATATCGACGTGATTAAAAGTCTACCCCATGTAGTTTTGTTTGAGTCTTATATTATTACTTTTAAAATTAATCTAAGTTATACACTTTGGTATTCTTTTCTTGTAGAATACTAACCTAAGTGGTTGTGCTTTTTTGCTTTTTCGCACTAAGAATGACTGTGTTATGAGAACACCTGAAGAATATGCGTTACCAAGAAATATGGTGTTTTAAAGCCGAACGAGTCAAGGTTAGTCAACAAAACTGACGAGTGTCTCAGAACAAAATTTCTATTCACCCGCGGGCGCACCATGCTTTCTCGGGTCAGCCTTGGCGAATATTCTTGCTCCTGGTTCCTTATAAATCGCCTGCACCACGGCGAACAAATCACTTCCGTTGACGATGTGACCTCGTTCTATTAAGCCTTCAATTACGTTCTCTTGAACGCGGTAGGGCTTATTTTTTTCATAAAATACTGTCTGATCAGGCACCAGTTGTGAGTGCAGTCGTGGTTCGTCTACTGCTTTAGACAAGTCATCTCCAAACCAGAGTTTGTTCATTAAGACCTGCAGATGCAAGAGTATATATTTGCATTAGTACTACATGCGTACAGTAGTAGCAAAGAAGAGCTGGCTTATATCCGCTTTGGGGAAGAGATTACTAACTTAACGCTCTGATCCACGCTGATAGGTTTTCAAAAGAAGCTGAGTTCGTCTCTGCGTGGACCAATAAATAATGACTGAACCCTAAGGGGGCTAAAGTAAAACACCGATAATTAATCTGTTTCAACGCTAAGTTCTGGGTAAGTCTTTGTCTTTACCAAAGCCATGCTAAATCATAGTGGTTTCTAAAAACGAATATGTTTGAACCCTATTACTCGTCCTCGTTTATAAGCGTTACACTACGTATCTGTAGATCTTTTGACATAGCCGCGCGACAGTATTTCTGAGGACGCATGAGTGCCTGCAATCATGAAGTTCGACAGCATGCTAATGGCTACGAAAGAAATGGTCGGAATTGTAAGTACTTAGTTATTACATAGTCAATAGTAGTTGTCACTGAAACAAGTGCCGACGTGAGTGAGCAAAAAGCCACTTGTACTCGCTTCGTCTGCGCACCAATTTGATTGGCGAACTCTTCCAATTTTAGTTTGTCGTTAAGTTACATTTTTTCAAAGCTTTAAATGTAAAAACATGAGTTCAAATATATCAGCGAAGCAAAACTGGCTCATGCTATTTCCTTGTCGGGTAACGTCCAACCAACATCGGTGTCTTCATTTCCTTAGTCTTAGTCCTAATGAAAACAATTTTATTAAATAATTAGCTCGTGTGTGCGTGCGATTTCTTAAATACTTGCACGGGCTAAAATTAAGCAGGTACTTTGTTTGGCAAATTTAGAGTATTATCCAATGAGTACATTGTAATTTAGTATAGTGGAAGGGTCCTCAAAACGATCCTCCCTTCCTTTCTGAAAGTTTTGTTGGCTTCATGACCTTTTCGCAACTGTGAGTAAATTTACACCCGCCTGGAAATAACACTCTGTATAACATCATGTGAATTGGTATCCGTTGGCTTTTAGTGAATGCAAATATTATTTTTTTTTTTATTTGTTGGATAAGTGACATTATCGTTTGCCTTCACGAAATTTATGTTGTTTTGTAACTCTAATTTCGTTCAATATGTCGTATATTACATTGTACATTCATTCGAGAAGCGTCCAAGATTTGAGAATTGTTGTCATAAACAAGGTCGACAAAGCCGTTTATAGAGGTACTTCGTACTCATACGGATGGTGGAATTTCAGTAGAACGTTGTAGTAATCTGAGTGGGAGTTCGTTTAGTTGAAGTCAAGTGTCCATCGGGTGAACAGATACAGTTTATGAACGAACTCATTTAGTCCTCGTTTACGTCTGAATGGAACCCGTCAGCACCTATAATCATAAACGGATTTACCGTTCCAGGCCGCGTCCATTTCTTTAGCTAGAAAATCCATACCAATAGAACAACTTTACTATTGGATTTGCTGGTGCATAAGAAAGATATGTAAGGTGCCTGTCCTTTTGTCTCTCTGTTATCTTGATCTTCCTCGAAATTAAGTTGGGTGGAGTACCCACCTTGAATTACTTAAAGTGCTTATTAGCTATATTAATCATATCGTAAGATTCAAAGAACGTACAAACATAGGATTGGACGTACCAGTGATACAGCTGTGGTTATCCTTTTCCCGCCAGAGGCACCGATAATAAACCGAACTTTTCCGTCGTTATCGGTTAAAATGGTGGGACACATGGAAGAGAACGGTCGCTTTCCTGGCTCAGGAAAATTGAATGGGGATGGAGAAATATCACCCACTACTTCGTAATCAGGAATATCAAAATCTGCCATCTCATTGTTGTAAATGATGCCTGTGGTAGTGGATCGATATTTAGCGCCAAACCTGTTTGAAAAAAAAACAAAACAAAACTAAGCAACGTCATTGCTGTTAGAGAATGACATATCAGTGAAGCTGAGCAATGACATGATAGGTTTTGCTTTGTTTCCTATGAGCTACCGTGCAAGTGGTCATCTTCTTACGAAAACCGTGACAGGCTCTTCTTAATTTTCCCTGCCGCCAAACCATGATAACGAAAAACTCCATATTAACAACTGTACGGCTGCTTCCTGTGGTACTTGTGGTCGAAGAAGGAACGGTGAGAAGCTACCTTTCCCAGGCCCTCCGTTACGGTGAATTCAAGTTCCACGGGCACAACCCGTAATTCCAACTGAACTTTTTAGTTCAACTCACCTCATGTTTATAGTGGATGTCACAGAAACTGCGTCTCCATTTTGGTCCAGTACAGCCACGTGTGTCGTACCGTAATCAGCGTTCGAAAAGGAATCCGCGTAATACGAAACATTCGTGTAAGTCTTGTTATCCCATATTTTTTGACGAAGGGCATCACCAAGTTCTGGTTCTAACATTTTTTCTGCTGTCTTTGAAGATAAAAGTAAAACTGCAACGTATTACCTGATCCTTGAACCCTCTACACCCTAACATCAGTATGCATATTCTCCATACTGTTCTCTAAAAATCTTCTTTAATCGGTGATCATTTCCTTTATTCTCATGACCTTATTGTTTGATTCAAGGGTCACTCTTAGAGGTCAAACGGTTAAAGGTTTGATGTAGGGTCAATGTTCCGTTTGCTATAAATCAGTCCTAGGGTGGTTCGAAAATCGCGTCGAAAAAACTTGCGCTTGCTAATGATATACAAAGTATATATATATATATATATATAATGCTAAAAATCAAATTTGCCTTCAGTTACTTTATCCCGCTTTTAACTGCTTCCGTTTGCTTTCTCCAATCTTGGATTTGTTCGAAAATCGTATCAAAACTCTTGTGCCACCTGCTTGCCAATCGTATGCGAGAGCTGAAGGCCTTTGGTCTTCGGAATGAATGGAATTCGATTTGATCACCGGAGTTTTAGGCAGGCCGACTATTCGTATTTAGCATACGTTCACATTTGGCCTCTTGTGATTCAATTTCGTTTTGATTGCATAGCCTACATAGTCATCCTTATATGCCCTTTGCAACTAGCGATCATAAAGCGAGACTAACATTTTGTCTGAGAGTAAATTGTGCATTGAGATATTCAAATATAAGGGCTTTAAGTTTAAAAGTTGCATTGTATCGGATGTATAAGGCGGATCATTGCTCTCCAGCAAAGTGTTTAAGCACCATTAATTTTGGTAGCCATCTGTTACGGGCTTGATACTTTTGTTCTTGTTTGTTAAACGCTAACCAAACAGCCACTTCGAAAGAAATTATGAAAGAGTTCACATTTGAACCACCTGTTAAATGCCACCTACCTTTGATATCGTCTGGTCAAACTTGGGATCTCCAAGCCGACTGCGCCACGCATAACTGAACTTGAAGGATTCAATGATTCGATGATAAGTCAGCACGGTGGCGTTCACGTCATCGCGAGCTGACGATGTCATGTTATACCCTACGGTGGAAACATTCCATAAAAATAGGCTGGTTCTAATAATTTTTCGAGTTAAATATTACCCAGTTTAGCTTGACATTAAAACAAGTTGTTGTAAGATAATAGGTCAACCGAACCTGCTTTTAATGTAATTGTATTTATTTTATCCTCATTTAGCTCCAGCAAAGCTAAGGTCGCACTTGCTCGTTTCTGACAGCCTTGGGGCACTTGCCAGGTGATGGCGTGTAATTCAATTCATCCAAAAGGCAATAAATATAGGCAGTAAATTGAAGATTTAACAACATACTTTGAAGGGGAACTTTCCGTTTGCTTTTGGAGAGTCTTCTTTAAAAGAAAGTTGAACAATCGTTTTGTCAACAACTCCTACCTCTTAAAATGTTTAAGATCAGTGCCAGCACAGCGCCACTTGTGGGTGGTGGGGTCAGGTACATTTTCATGTCCCGGATGTTACTCTGGTATGGGTCTCTTAAAATCCACGTATAACTCCTTAAATCCTCTTCAGTCACGGTCCCATTGACTTTCTTAATGTCACGCAATATTTTACTAGCGAGTGTTCCATTGTAAAAGGAGTCAGGATTGTCACGCACTGTTTCCAAAGTCTCTGCGTACTGTACGTTCTTAATAACATCGCCTTTTTTAACCAGCTTTTTGTTTTTAGTAAGGAGCAGCTCACTGAAATATTGAAGTGAAATGTTATTAGTATTGTCAGGGCCGTTGGAGAAAAATGTAAAACTGAGTTCCCCTCGAAAATCGAACCCCAGGCGTTTTAAATCCTTGCTCCGAAGCTTCCCTTCCCCTCATTGGTAGTTGATTGTAGTCCTTTCTTTAAACAGTACTCTGTTTGTGATGGCTGATCCCCTCTGCCCACCCTGAAATCCATGTGATCCCCCCAAAATATCCTTTCCCCACCCCTCCCCTCTTTGGGCGATAATTAATGACACCTGTAAGCGCGGTTGCAATGCGCCTAACAGGTTTTTTTGTTATCTGAATATAAAAATATAAACGATCGAGCGGGTGATTTGCATTGGAGTCAAGTTCTGAATTAGTCTCACCTCAATCCCGGGTCGTTTTCAATATCATCTTTGATTCCTTTTGTCGTTTTCAGTGCATCTTCCACAGCTTGAGTTACTTTAAATCCCTTTCTGGCCAAATCAATGGCGGGTTGAACAAGTTGTTTCCATGGTAACCGTCCATGTCGTTTCCAAGCCTTGTGCATACCGCGCACTTCACCGGGAACAGCGATAGCCAGACCACCTTAAATGACAAAACAATTTCGTGGGTGATTTTTTATCTATTTTTTTTTTTATTTTAGACATAAATCGATGAATCGTAATTATACTTAAACTGAGGTCTGTTTTGGAAAGGTTTTAATTTTAAGAATACTTTTAGCATATCTACGGTTAACCTCCCTTGTAATCATGTGGCTTAAGCCAATCTCTATGGGGACATTTTTATTAATATTTTCCGATGAATATTAAAAGGAAATCTTGCGAAGATTCTTCACAGTCTTTTTCAATAAAACTTGATTGGCCAGTTTACGAGACAGATATGAGAGGTGGATACCAAGCATCGAAAATTTGTGTTTGTGAGACGAGTGAACTGTAAAGGTAGCAAAATTTATTTGTACCGGTGGATTGAACATTAGGACACGAAAACTGATTTATCACCATTTATTAATGTTGTGGTTCAATTTTATCCCAGGTTCAAATTTTAATTCCCTTTGTTTCAAACTCATTATCATACACATTACAATACCCAAAAACGAAAGAAAGTTAAATTTGAACCAAGGATAAAATTGAACCACAACATTGATATTGCATACATTAAGAAAATAATACTATCGATGAACTTAGTAAAATCAAGTGAGCAATCGACATAATCTTGGAACCAAGAAAAACAATTATAAGTTAAAAACGAATTCAAAAATGCGTTATAAACTACGGACAGAAACGACGGACCTTTCCTGGCTTTACTTTCGTTGCCCTTAAACATGTTCTTGTGGGCTGTAGCTGGGGCAGTTTCTCTGAAGTCGATGACTTTGACCTGCTTTGATGTTTGATTATACACCAACATCACTCCCCCACCTCCTATCCCTGATGAGTGCATGCTGACCACACCCAAACAGAACATGGCAGTGATGGCAGCATCCACTGCGGACCCGTTCGCGTTTAGGATATTTTTCCCGATCACGGAGCACCGCGGTGTATCTGTAACAACGGCCACTCTTTTGTAGGGTCCACCAGATGATTGATCGGGGGAATCTTTTGTTAAGAAATATGCAAGGAGGCCAGCGCCTGTACCCAGGAGTAAAACCGCCACTGCAACCACACCTCCTATGATCCTTCTCAAAAGAGAAGAGTCGGATTAATTTATTGGCTCGGTTTTCGGGCGCATAAAAGCCAAATGCTGGCGTTTTCCTCAAAAAGGGACGAGCTCGAAGGAATATTGATTACAATCTGTCACAGGAAATCGTATATCATAAAAATACTTCCTCTTTAGCGTTCAGTTGTGGCCATTAACACAAGACATTCGTTTATCATAGACTTCCTTTTTACTAATAAATAAACAAGCCAAGTGTTTGAATGTCCCTCAATGAACGCGTCTGAGTTGTGATATTTGTCACGCAAGCGGAGCGTCTATTTTGACTTGTGTTACATTGTTCTGAAAAAAAAATTTGAATATGCATCTAAATTTCTTCCCAGGGTCAAAGTACGCACATATTGTATTTGAAAACATTTCTTGAAACGCTGGGGACTTCTCGCAACAGTATTTTACGATATATTCGTCAAAATACATTTTCAAACAGCGATGGGATATCGGCATCAAGTTAAATAAATGCACATTTTCGGTTTCTATATAAAAAAGAGCAACTGGGGGCTGTCGCGGTACACAGTTTCGGCCGGTTATTTACACGAGGTCTAACCCAAACTGCGGTTTGACGCAAGCAGTGGGCCTAAGGGATTAGGAGGGTTACTTTCATTTCAGAAATGTCCTTCCACTTTTAGCTTTTGGCTCTCATGACACTGTTTACAAAGATAAATGTTCTGATAAAAGGTTCGGCTAAATTGAAGATGGCTTAGAACGCGGTT